TTTTTTTGCAGTTTTTGGCCGGGGCTGGGTTCGAACCTGCCACCTCTGGCATATGAGGCCGGCACCCTACTCTGTTGAGCCACAAGTGCCACCCATTATCTTAAATTCTTGGGGGTCTAATCCACCTTTATCTTCTGTCTGCTGATCTTCACTAATTTCCTCAGGGGGGTTGCAAGTGGACTTTTGTGGGAATGGGTGTGCCCTCAATGGAAGATGTAGTTCCATATTTCCTTCTGTTTAGGCCAAAACTCCAGGGTAACTAACTACTTAAAGGTCATTTTTATGTTAACTTCTTAGCTTATATAGGAGGGGGGTAGTTCCTGAATTTGAAGATAGTATTCATTTGAATTCACTTGAATTTCAGACACATAATTACCAATTCCTACAGGACACTTTTTGTTGAGTGTACCTAGAACCAGGATAAGCAAATGAAGCTTCCAGGCTTCTCCCAGTCTATCCCTGGGGATTTAACAGGCTTACCTGGGTGCTTGCTTCTCTTTTTGCTCTTGGGAGTTTCTTCTGCTTTCCTTCAAAGCTCAACTCTGCTTTAAACAGTGTTATAGTTTGGGAGGGGCAGTAGGTTTTTTGGTTTCATACACTCGTGGTGGTTCAGAAACCGAAGTCTCTCTGATTCTATCCCTATTGTGTTTCCTCCTGGGGAGATTCAAAGAAGCTTGAGCTTCTCTCCCTGCCTAATGGCCCACGAGGTCTATAACCTGTGAAAGGTATGTTGGCTCCACTTCCCTCTTCCCACGTTCCATGTTATTCCCTCAAACACCAGCTACACCCTGCCTTGGGGCCTTTTGCATCTGCTGCACACCCTTGCCAGGAGCTCTCTTCCCTTGGAAGCCCTGCTCGTCCCTTCCCTTGTCCCTCCCTCAGAGCATTCCTGGGAGGCCCTCTGGCCTGCCTACTGCCCACCTTTCTCATCCCCTTCCCAGCTCGTTTATGCTCTCCCAAGAATTGAATACCTTTTCTATGGCGCTCCTCTCCCTACCTTAGACTGTACTTGATAAGGGCAGGGATTTTCATCTGTTTTGTCCCTGCAGCATCCCGAGCACCTAGTGACTACTGAGGGTTCCAGGTGCTTCAAGGAAGCCAAGAGCTCTAGGGGCCAGTGGGAAAAGGCAGGCACTTACCAACTGGAGAGGATTTAGATAAGTTTTGAACCCATGGCCTGCAAGGCATGAGGGCCCAGGAGAGGGTCAGGGCCTATGGCTTACTCCAGCCTAGAGGGCTTGCTGGGTCCTGTTCTGGGCCCTGGTATTACCCCAGGTTCTATACCAGGAGACCCTGGGCACAAAGACCCACAGACCCTGAGACTCCTTCCCTTTGTCCACAGTGACTGTCTCACTTTAAGAACATCTGGAGACGAGGGCCTGAGTCCCTACTGTCCATTGGAGCCATGTCCTTGATGGCATGGAGGGAAGAAAAGCCTAGGCTCTTCAACTCAGGATTAATTCCACCCACCCTCTGCCAAGTTCATTTCCCTAGGTTCCTGAGCCAGGCTCTGTCCATCCATTCTGTCTCCTTTCCCCTCCACAGTACTTTGAGCTGACTCCCTGTTCCTTTGCTTCTTCATCCCACCCCTGCAGGTGATCCCTGAAGCCCCACTTCAGGGTCACCGATGTCCCTGGATGGAGTTCTCAGGTTCTTCCCAAAACCTTACTTCCTGCCACTCCAGCCCACAACTCAGGACCCTCAGAGTTGGCCTCCTTCGTGCTCCCCACTGCCATTTCCAAAAGAGTCCATGTGTAAAAAAATCCTGCACCTTTAGGCCAAGGGTCAAAGGAGTCAAGGCCATTGACAAAGGAGGGTAGAAGTTGCCACCATGGGGTCCAGATAGTAACAGAGATATAAGTTAAGGCAGGAGCAACTCCTGGGGGGGAAACATGGGCTGAACAGAAGCTGGCCATGGATACAAAGATCAGAGACCACAGTGTAGAGATGAGGGAAGGTTAAAGAGTGGGACATTCACATTCAAAGGCAAACAGGTCTGGGCATAGGTGGTGAATTCAGGTGTGCCCCAGCAGGGGCTGACATCACTGGTGCAGAACAGAAGGCAGGGGGCAGTTTAGGTGGAAGTGGCTGGTTGTGGAAGAAACAGACCCAGAGGCCTACTGGGGCACTTCTAAAATCAATATTACTGGCTCGGCGCCTAT